GTGGGTGGTTAATAGGCTCTCACTGCGGTCTGTTAAACAGGGAGTTAGTATCGACAGTGTCATCTGAAATGCTTCAAACTGCATCTGTTCCCGTCGCTGACATTTAGGAAACTGCAGCCGAGTACTGGAACAAAACTCAAAAAAGCAGGAGATGGTTTACTGCAGACATGCGCAAGCATGAGGGAGGGAGAGAGAGAGACAATGCTACCATTAAATATTTTCATGCCCCCCCCCCCAATTCCCTGGATTTCCAATTCCAGATTTCAGCGGGAAGACAAAAGTCCATTATTTGGTATCATCCAAGTCGGTCACTTGACTTACACATTTACCAAACACACACAATCCGCTTTCAAGTCCAACCCAAGCTTTGGGTTTAGGGTAAAACTACCTGTCTGTACTGGCGTTGATCCTGTAGCTTGTGCGGTTTGCTTGTTTTGTCTGCGTTGCTTTGCTGTCTACTTTTTGCGGCTGCAGGGATTGGCATCCTGCTGGTCTGTGACGTGCTGGTTGAACCCTGTGAGGAAGGTTGGGGTGCCAAGGGGAAGGGGAGAGAGATAAGGGAAACGTGGGGTGAGCATCAGTGCATGGGCAAGGTGGAGGCTCACGCACCATGGCCAAAGCTGCTTTGAGTGAGAAGGCAAAGCCCCCAAGACATGCACGGGAAGCACCAAAAGGATCCACACCACAAGGCACACCACTGGTGTTAATTCCAGGAATCAAAAATGGAGGTCAAAGGCTCAACTACAGATCAACCTACGTTTAACTGGCAGTCCCAGGTATTTTGATTCGCCCACAGCTGACCAAGCTTCCTTTGATTGCCCATCACCAATCAGCAGGAGAGATTTTATTTTATTTAAAATAAAACCACACACAAATCTATTAGCTGTTAGACACCTAATGGATGCACCAAACAAGCCACCCGAAAGGAAGCAAACCAATCAGAAGACACCTCTTGCTTAATGGTGATTATTACGGCAGATTTTGTTTTAGAAAGCAGCTGGAGTTGTGATTTCTCATACTAAAGTACCTTACGTGAAGTTGACGGTATTGAGGAAGGGGGTTCAACATCAGCAATAGTCTCTTCCAGCGCTAGGGATTCTTTTGGTGGGAAAAAGCCCGGGACAGAAGTTCCCTCCGATCGGGCTGGAGCTTCAGAAACTGATTTTGGGCTCATCTCACTAATAGTGCTCTCCAGTTGCTTAATAGTCTGCTCCAGGCTGTCCAGAGTCCTGTACGTGTTCTTTCTAATTTCTTCAGTCCTAGAAGTCTGTACAGTTAAGTTTGGCTCCTCCTTCCCGGAAGCGTCATCGGGCCGACTGCTCGGGATTTCAAACCTTTTTGCCTCTTTGTGCTGTTTCACAGTGCCGTCCTCCTCCTCCTCTTCATACACAACCACTTGCAAAGTTTTCTTGCCGGTTTTAGTCCCTGTGCGGATTGCCTGCGTAAGAGCAGCCAGCTGCTTTTTAGGAAATTTAAACTTGAATTTCTTCTTTGTATCGGGAGTGTCCAGCTTTGACTCTGGATGTGGCGCATAAATGTAAGGAGATTTCCTGAGATCGATCTCATCTGTTTCCTGCCCTTCAAGGAGTTTGGCTTGAGTCGCTGAATTAGACAGATAGCGTTGTCTGAAGTCCTGCTCAAATCTGCCGCTTGTTGCGTCAGCCCCATGACTCCTATGACTGTCTGCACTGGTAACTCCTATGTTACGGGCACCACATGTCTCAGGTTCTTGGTCTTCTTCCTCCTCCTCTTCTTCCTCTATCTTCTCTTCTGTCATCATTTTTTCCAGCTCTTCATCACATTCCTCAAATATCGTTGAAAGTCTTTTATAAGCTGATCGGATGTCCATTGGCTCATCAAAAATAATGATTACCGGTTTTTTGTCCAAGCAGACCACGGGCTCTTCACTTTCACGGTTCTCTAGCGTCCCTTGTTGGGATGTTGCTTCCTTTCTGGAATCAATGTTCACAGTTTGCACATCTTCTCCCTGCCTGTTGACTATATCGTGGACCTCTCCACTGGACAGAAACTGGACTGCCGTTTTGGTAATCATGAAAGCAATGTTCTCCGATGGTGGGCTTTCATCACTCGGAGAGCTAGTTGGCGACTCTGCCTCATCCATACTATTTAAGGTAACATTTCTAGGTGCCTTATGCCTCAGCACAACTTGATTATAGGCCCCAGCAGACATTTCTTGTTCCTCTGGAGACTTAGGAGAAGCCTCCTGAGTGTAAGAGTCTGTTTGACTGACAGGAGTTGCCCCTGCACCACTGAGAGGCTCATTCTGGGGCGAACCATGACCAGTCTCTCTAAGTGCAGCATTGGTTGACCTTTGTCTTCCAGTTTCAACTGCGGGACATTGTGCTTCTTCAGGCCCCGTCTTCCTTTCATTGTCTAACACAATGGAGCAGTTTGTTTTCAGCTTAAGAGAATTTGTTTGTGCATACTCCTTATTCTCCAAAAGCAAATCTTTGCTGAAGGCAGAGTTTTCAGCAATTCTGGGAGCATCCGAGACCATCTCTTCTGTCTGGTGCTTGGGATGGTCACTATCTTTTGTTGCCTCCCCATACACCTAGGGGGAAGAGTTGCATTACTTAGTTACTGAGGGATACAACTTTTTTTTTTAAGGCTGGGACTATTTCCCCCCAATTATTTAGCACATCATCAGATAAAGTACAGATAATGTGAATGGGCCACTTTCTACATCAATGCAGAGCCATTTCCATGGTCTTCAGCGGATTTTTGCACCTCTTCCAGGGGTTTACTCCAAATCTGGTAGAACTTTGTATTACACACAAAACTATGCAGGCAGACAACACGGGTTCTAGAATGAGTCCTTTAAGCAACCCCTCCATAGACTTTACATCCTGTACAACATTTGTGCCATCTTGATAATATTCCTCCCTTTCAATGATTGTTTTGTATGAAACAGAAACCTTTCATTTAGGCTGTTGGACTAAACTTTGTTAGGAAACAGTGACCACACCATTAGGACTAGAATGCTGACTGCTAACACTGAAGCCAGTTCTCCAAGCTGGCTAGCTCAGAAAGGCCTCTTCCTCTGGTATAACCATTACATTTGATTAGCGGGTGGGGTTTTTGTTTTTCTCCAGCTGGAGGGCTGCATTCTCCAGTGAGCAACCTTTCAGGGGTCACATCTAAGTGGAAGGTGGGGCAACGGAAGTGACTCTCTGATCTTGGTACAGTAGGTTATGGTCCAGCCACACAAAAGCCAGAGGTTTTTATGTGTACACTCATCCATGGGCATGGTTAGAGTTCAAGGACACATGTCAGCCAGGCAGAAGAACTGGAGGAGGCTGTGGAGCAGGGGCAAAGAGGGGCATGGCTTAGGGAGAGCCCCTAGGGCAAGGCAGAGAGGCCCAGCAAGGCATCCCTACGGTAAATAGCTTTCGGAGCTTGTTTATTTAGAAGAGCTACATTTTGCAAAGAAGTCTTGCAAAACAATCACATTCAAACCTGGTATTAGATTAGATGGTGGCAAGAACATTGCTGGTGGCGTTTCCTATCCCTCATCCTCAGTCTCTCCTGATGTTGACATTAGTACTGAATGTCGCAACTGATACAAAAGTGGATTTTTACGCGCAGAGTCAATACCTTATTTTATAGGAATGGAGAAAAGCAAGAGGTCAAAATACCGGGTGTGGTTGAAGAGGCAGCACCCTAGGAAAAGAAGCAGCAGCTCCCACTGCAAGGTACAACGGTGTCTGTTTCTGCTGAAAATGGATTAAGTAGGTCTGCTGGCACAGCCTATGCATTTTGGCAGCAGGAACTGCTGCAAGGGCCCTTTTCCCCTGCGCACACGCGCGCGCGCGCACACACACACACACACACACACACACACACCCCCTGGCTAGCTCCAGCATCTACTTGCAACACTACAACGGTCCTCAGCACTCGTGTGTATTGAGGTGGATTTATGACTCCTGGTTTGCAAAAACGACTCCAAAAGTGACTGGCTGCGGGGGAGATCAGGACATCTTGCCTTTGCATTTCAAATGCATTCCTGCTAGTTCAGTAAAAAAGTGCTCCCAACTTGTTACTCTGACCAGCAGGGCTACAAAAGGATGTCCAACGATGAGATAGAGAGTCAAAAGAGTAAGCCTGGAAGCAGCTGCTTCCATTGGTAGACTACAGTTTTAGTCTGTTCGTAACAGAAACAACTTCAAGCAAAATTGTTGCTGGACCACAACAAAAAAGGTATAGTCACATAATTTGAGAATATAGGATTGTCCATCCACATTAGATAACAATCATAGTCCATTGGCAGGATCTGCTACAGGTTTTGAAGTGCTCGTGGGCAAGGCAGCCTCCAGGCTCTGCCCCCCCCAATAAGTAAGTGTAGCAGATCCATGGGGCTCTCTTCAGGAGGCCCCCAGCAAATGCTCAACTTTCCTGGGCCTCCATGTCCCAGCCCTGTCCATTGATACACCAACTGTATCAATCTCCAGAATCAGAATTACTATCCTGTCACACTAAAGCCATCACAAGTGCAAGTTAACTACTTGTTTTTCAACACGGGTGTCTTGATTTTAAAAACACAACACAGTACAAGAGTCTGGAAGACAACTATCATTGTACAAGAGGCAACTTAAAACTTGCTCCCACCCCATGCATATGTAGTTTGTTAGCACGTCAAGGAAACCATAACCCCTCCTAAGGATCCAGGAGAAAAGGTGAAGAAGGTTTCATGCAAACCAAGCAGAAGTCAAAAAGAGCCAAAGATGTAGGTGGCATTACATGGACAATTGGCATGAAGTGTTTCATGTGTTGTCGGAAATATTCTGGCTTCTAGGGTCAAAAGGCTATTCAGTATTATTATTTAAAGCTAGCAAAGCGCTACATGCTGTTCAGGGCACATGAGAGAGATGGCTCACTGCGTGTTTCATCTCGCCAGTTGCAGGAAATCGGGAAGCCAACATCGAATGCTGCCTTGAGTATGCCAAGTTAGAGGTGTTGAGTATACATATACAAAGCTACCCTGCAGCATAGCTCAGTCAGTAGAGCATGAGACTCTTAATCTCAGGGTTGCAGGTTCAAACTACACTTTGGGCAAAAGGTACTCTATGGTCTGGATTGTGTTTATCTTTGCTAGGGAAGGAAAAGATGGCCTTGTTCCCTGGAACAGGGAGTTGAACCGATGAAGTTACATTTTTATTCAGGTGCAGCATCTTAATTCCACCTGATTCTACTTCAGTTATAGCTGAACAAAATTCCTAAGCAGGTATTAATACCACCCCAAAAGTCCCCTAACTATGAATGCCAAAATTAGAAAGGAATCTGCTTTGTGTAACAATTTGCCTGGAGCTTTAGAGCTATTGCGTTGAAAGCAATATTGAAACTTGCAATTGCTTTCCCCAGTTGGTGTTATCATATGCATTCCAGCTACTGCTCCTCTTACTATAAAGCAAACTTTCAAAGCAATACTGTGTTTACTCAGGAACTGTCCCACTGTGGTCAATGCAGCTTACTCTCCGGTAAGTGTACGTAGGATTGCAGTTTGTCACTGGTCTGCAGCAAAATGGGCACTACTTTATTTCAATTTTCTTAGCTTAGTATTCTCAGAGCCAAATTCAAACACTGTGTCTTACAGACACTCGGATCACTACAGTGGAACCTTGAGTTGCGGATGTAATCTGTCCTGGAGGCACACCCACAACTCAAAGCGTTCACATCCAGAAGTGCCGCGCCTGTGCATGCGTGGGGTGCGATTTAGCGCTTCTGCTCATGCGTCAGCAGCGAAACCTGGAAGTAACCATTCCAGTACTTCCGGGCTTGCCGCAGGACGCAACTTGAAAAGATGTAACCTGAAGCGGACACAACATGAGGTATGACTGTATGTTTAAACACTGTATCCTTTCTTTGGTCTCAAGAAGAGAACCTTAGTTGATGTCAGTGTTGGAATTTATTTCAGATTTACGTTAGAATTTTGATTGCACAGTTGGGTTTGTTTTGGGGATTGATACCTGTTTTCTATTCTGCTACAGATTTGTTAGCTACCTTGAGTTTCCCCGGAAAATTAGGTGTGATAAAAAATTTAAAAATAAAAATGCCTAAACTTCAGATCTTGAGAGCATTTGTACCCCACTGTACAACAGAGGTAATCCTAAGATTTGTGTTGAGTCGCTTAAACATTTCCTCATTCACCGCATATTAATTCTGTTTTCCTAAAGGCTAGTAGCATCTTGAGAACCTTGGTGCTAAGACGGGTCACAAATCTAGATACATGAAAACACAGCCAACACAGCACAAAGAGAGAGAGAAAGAGAGAGAGTAACCAATGCACAAGGCACAGGGTTAGTTTGGAAGCAAGGGAAGAAGGTGAGGCCAAGAGGATGTGGCAGAACTCAAATGCCACTGTTACCTTCTTCTCCTTGGGATGTATTAAGGCCACAGGCCTTGCATCTTTTGTGTGAGTGTCATTTCTGGACTGTTCAACATGGCTGTTTGAGTTTACATCCATGTAAGAGCACTTCTGGAAAGCCTAGAGAGTTAAAACATGGCATGTTATCGGAAGACCTTTTCCAATCAAGAGCCAAGTCACTTCCTGGAGCCGTTCCAGTCAAGAGTTTGCTTGCTTACTTTTTTCCTCTGAGCTTCTTCAGGACCAACTCTGATCAAAGAAGGCTATATCAACAGGGGCCCAGAAATTATGTCTAGGCTGAAAAGCTAAGGGTTAGTTCCTACTGGCCAGCTGTGAAGCCCTGTCTCAAAATGATAGCACAGCAATACTATATGAATTGGCTGATGAAACTACATGCCTCATGTCATGCGGGTTTATTTAAAACAAACCTTTAACCTGACAATCATGCCACAGCTAATGTTACCCGGAGATCTTTATGTGGCATACAAAGTTATAAATTCAATAATGGTTTCTCTCTCTTCCAGTCCACACTAATTGTTTGAAATGTTACAGGCTGAAAAAAGGTTACTGAAAGAGAATCAAGCTCCACACTGCACTCCCCAGCCTTGCTTTAGAGCTGGAATCTACAGCTGCTAGTTCTTTATAACAAGAAGTCTACACCTTTTGAGTAAGAGCAAGTTCTGACCAACGGTAAAAATAAAAGCGTCCCAGAACATTATTACCTCATTAGTTTGCCACAGCAAGGAGGGCCTGCCATCATAGTTAGCCCCATGAGAAGATTTGTTGAAGCTTGATAACCATCTATGTGTTCACCTCCTTCTTGGAATCACTGACAGATGTGAGAGCCAGTGGATATATTATTTTAATATAATGAATAGTTTTGTCTTCCACAGACTGGCACGAAGAGTGCCCCCAAAGTGCACGTCAAATATGCAGTCAATACCAATCGCATAGTAAGCAATACAATCTAGCCCAAGTCAGTCACAGCTCTCAAGAGCAACCGAACAGGACTTGATTGTGACTGACAGTTGTTAGATTGCGCCCCTAGACTTCAGCAGTGTCACAGAAAAACCATTCGTTACAATGAACGAGCAGGCTAGATAATCCTTAGGCAAGTTCTGAATACTTGCTGACAATAGGATCCGGAGTTCAAACCACTGGAATCTAACTCTGATCTTTGGCCTGTTTATGGCCACAAATATTCAAATCCTCCTTCAGATCCAGTTTTTCCTGACCTGAACCAAGTTGTACCTGTATATGAAATGGATGTGTGTACCAGAAAGGCATAGAAACAAGCTTTCCCCCTCTTATCCCATTTACTTACACCTGAGACCATATCTTGATATAGGCTGCAGCAATGAGCGACAATGTGTATTTCCTGAAGGAGCTCACTTGCCCATTCACTTAAGTAGGACTTAATTCCCTTGGAATATCCAAGGTACATATCTCTGCAGGTCCAGCCTCGTCATACCTGTAATTCTGCCATTATTCTGTCTCCGTCCTCTTCCTCCTCCTCCTTTGCAGGTGGAATTGTGCCCATAGCCAGGGGTTGAGGAGAGGCATGGTCTTCCTTAGGGACTTTTGGCTGTGCTCCTTGAGCAGCATCTTCACTGCTTTCCTAAGTAGTATAACAAACAATTTAAAAAAACTAATATTTAAGCAATTCGACCATTAGCATGACACCAACAAAACAAAATGCTCCCCTCTATTACATTTTCTTTAGTTTCCTGAAGGGGAAGCATCATCCCATCCCATTCTCCAGAAGAAATTCAACATCAATTATCACATTTAGATTTGGCAGCCTAAGACCATGCCATGCTATGTGACGGAAAGATTTTAATGTATCTCCTTGGGCGGCTGGGGGAGATAATGAAACAGACAGATGGATATATCAAGCAGAGAAGAGCTCACTAGAAAGGTTTCTATGGAACTGTTCTCATCAATTTTGTCAATCTGTGTTAAATATTTGGCTTCTTGAAGATTATTTTCAAATTCTTGAACATGCATAGAATGAACACAGCTTCTAATCTTTTTCACGTTATTATAAATAAGAATACAGGGAGAATGATTCCCATGAAGGCAGGGATGGGCAGAGCCTACTGTATGAAATGCATTTCCTGACAGTCTTCCTTCGATGCCCGTTTGGGTCACAAACCTCCACCCACCCACCCACCCCATTGGCAACTTAAGTAAGAAAGACATTGTCTTGCCCAGAAGCTCTTCCTGTTCTGGGTATCTAATTTTGCTTCAATTGCCTCAATCACCAAACCTTGACCAAAGTGCTGTCTTTCCTGGTCACGTAACTGACTTCTCCCAGTCTTGTGCTTAGTCCAGATCCTATCAGATAACTGCGACGCGGAGGTGGAGGAGGTGGAGACTTCACTGGCTTTTCGGTCTCCTGCTCTGGGTTAGGAGCCTCTTCTGAAAATTCAAGGTGCGACAATGTGGTAGATGCAGTGGTTTTAAAAACATGGCCTACCACCCTAAAGTTAACCAACATGGTATTCCACTTATGTTTGATGGGAGATTTAACGTGCTGCTCAAGTTTCCAATTAAGCATGTGTTTGATGCTCAGTGTAGAAACCCTTTTGAACAGAGCATTGATCAATGGGGCCTGAAAGTGCCAGATCCTTGGTTGCACTGTGCCCAAAATTGCTTTGTAAGGTATTGCTTTATAGCAGGCAAATCCAACAGGCAGATTGTGACGTCTGGTAGATGACTGGCTCACCCCAAAGAAGCTCAGCAAGTTTTGCTCCCCTATAAAAAAGGACTTGAACCCCAAAAAACAGGGCTTTCCTTTCAAAAAAAAAACTCAACAACTTAGACCTGAACCCCCAAAAAGGGGGTAGATCACTGCCCATTCTTAACTCTGTGAGTAGATCGCAGCCTCTTGGGGGTTGGCCACCCCTGCTTATAGGGTAGAGGCTGCTTATAAGGACACAGGAAGGAATGAGTTGGACCATTGGGTTCATCTAGCTCATTATCAACTACACTGGCAGGCAGAGACACTCCAGAGTTCCAGGCAGATCATCTTTCCCAGCCCTACCTGAAGGTGTCAGGAGCTTTTCTGCATGCATGTGCCCTACCACTGAGTTATGCACCTTCCACTTATTAGCAAGTAGGGCCTACATTCCCACCAATATGTTTTCTCTAAGACTTGGAGCTCGGAAGTAAATAGTAACTGTTTTCTTTCACATTTAAAAGAGAGTCCAACATCGAAGCTCCACCCATCTATCTTACTGTAATGCACTAAGCCTTACCAGAGACTTCTATTTTTTCTGCTGCGTCCGCTTTCGGCGAGCCTGTGGCTTGTGGAGGCATCTCAAGGTTTGGGATTGATTTCATGATATTGGCTTGTGCTTCTTCGAGGAGTTTTTCAAATTCTTTTCCGTTGTAGTGATCGAGGTTCTGCCTTTTCTCTTCCCATTTCTTCTCTGCTTTCTAAGAAGAAACACACACACACAGAGAGGGGAATATTTTGAAATCAGTTTGGGCTTCACTCTGTATTTAAAATTTTTATTTATAAACTTTTAGATGAATCAAATATGCAGAGGTGCTCCGAGTTCTGCTAGCCATCTTTGCCAAATGACATTTATGAATGTCATGCTAAGTTTGGCACTCAAGAAACAGGGCTCCTATACCGTCCAAAAAGACAGCCCAGAGTTCTCCTGCCTCATTCTTAAGATGGCCAA